CACAAACACTTAAAAAAAAGCGGATAAAACCGCCTATTTTTCTCTGCGTATCTAGCGCTGATGCACAAGAGATACATCAAACTCAAAACTCGATTTAGTTTCATTGTTTTATAGAAAAAAATGCTCACGAAAGAATATTTTACTATAGCGAAGTCCGTTGCTTGCATACGCGCTAGAAACACCGCCGATCTGCATATAGCGCGAACGTTTGTTCCGTGAAAGAATGTCACCACTATGTTCTAATAGTTAGTAAAAAAAAAAAGAAAGAAAAGTCTACAAGAAAATAAAAAAACCGACCAGGCGCAACGAGCGAGCGAGCGGACCAAAGAAGCGATCAAGAGCAATGCTGGGAAAGCGGGAAGGCCGGCGGTCGCGTTGGCAAATACTTTGGCGTCGGGCCAAGTTGGGCGCCTTGTCAATTGCAAGCTCTTGCGCAACTTTCTTGTTTGGTGCGTACATACGTGCGTCCGTGCACGGCGGGCTATCAATGCACGGTTGGGACGCTCTGCAAACGTCTGTGTAGGGCGTTCCAGCAAAGCTTTATTTACGCGTTGGCTTTGCCTAAAATATTGCACAACCGCGGTCGCGACGGGCGGGAAGAAGGAGCGGGTTCGCGGTGACCTTACTTCGGCGGAGACAGACTTTGACCTAACACTCCGCGGTTACATTAACAAACTCTTATTTTGTTATCTCCATCGTTTTCTTTTCGCACGGATACACGACCACTTTGGGGTCGCTCACGGAGGAAATGCGTAAACAAAAAGAAGTGTCTTTCCCTCCTTCGTTTTACTTTGTCACGGACGTCCCCCAACTGTAAGGTCCGCGGCCGCGTCATTCGGGTAGGATGAGTGTTCGCGGATCGCAGAGTCCGCGCTGGGGTATTTGATGGGGTGGGCGATGACTCGGTGTTTTTTCGGAAATCGATATTGGCCCAAAAAATGGGGTGGGCGATGACTCGGTGTTTTTTCGGAAATCAATATTGGCCCAAAAAATGGGGTGGGCGATGGCTCGGGGATGGGCGATGACTCGGGATATTACGGTAGTGTCTCAGCTTTAAAAACAAATTTGGGTCTCACTCTATTGTCTACCCGGTGCAATATTTACCGCATATGTTACTTTCATGACTTATACTACAGCAAATCGTGCTTTAAACACACCTATTGTCATTCCGCACATTATATTTCTCCTCGAACCGATAATTCCTGTAAGGTGCAGCAATACCAGTCACACACTAATTCCTTCCTGTTTTCACCCTTAATGTTATCGATTACTGAATGGAATAACTTGCCAGACGAGATGGTTACTAACACAAATGCCGTTGAATTTAAAACAATGTGCGAGCACCTGTGGCATGAATAGTACACGTACATGCCGTTATTTTCATAGTCGCTTTCCGTTTCTGCATATTGAAATTGTTGTTTTATACATAGTTACGTCCAGTTCAAAATTGCAGTTGTGTACGTACGATGTGATTTCCTTTTTGTAAACTGTGCTGGGCTAATTGCGATGATTTTGTTATACCAATGATTGTGTTTGGAAAATTGTGTTATTCTGTTGTTACAAATGCATGTACCACCTACCCCCCTCATGTAATGCGTCCTCAAAGACGCCCTTGAGGTAAATAAATGAAATGAAATGCAATTACTAAGGGTTACAAATAAAAAACTGTACTGAACTTTCCCTATACAATTAATGGCACTCAAGTTAAAGAAGCCTCTGAAGTTAAGTACCTTGGGGTAACAATTACGAGCAGTTTGAACTGCAATGCACATATTGCCAATGTTTGTGCTGCTGCGAGACGAGCGTTGTGGTCCCTAAGGCGAAAACTTCCACTGGCACCCTCCAGTGTGAAGCTCTGTGCCTATAAGACTTTAGTTAGGCCAGTTTTAGAGTACGCGTGCGTAGTCTGGGACCCGTGTACACAAAAAGCCATAGACGAATTAGAGAAAGTTCAAAGGCTAGCTGCGCGATTCATATGCAATAGGTACCGCCGCTTAGACAGCCCATCAGAAACGTTGAAATCACTTAAATTGGAGTCTTTGAGATCGCGCCGGAAAAATTTGAGATTGAAGTTTTTGTACCTAATCAAGAATAATTACTTTAATTTAGCTTCATCACCCTACATAAAGCAGGTCACACACCGAAATACACGCTTTAATCATGGAAGTCTTTTAGAGCCATACCAAAGCGCAAACAATATTTTTTAAAATTTGTTTTTCCCAAGGACCGTAATAGAATGGAATTGCTTAGAAAAAGACACTGTTGATAGCCCTTCCCCTGATGTATTTTTTTAGAGATTGCGATGATATATGCTCTTTAGTATCAGTGTTGTGTTGAAGAACGTGCCTGTTTGCGTCTCTGCCATCCATTCCTCTTTCTTTTCCCCCCACTCCTGCCTGGGCCCCAACGGGGCCTGCAGTATTGTGAAATAAATAAAAAGAAATTGACATACATCCAGGGTGTTTCAAATAGCGGTTAGACTCCTTAAATCGACCGCGAAAATCGTTTTTTTTAGCCTATCGCGCTACGATTTTGTGCAGCGTTGTCCACATATGGTGCATTGTTTCTATAAAGTTTGCAAAGAGCGGACTTAACTGAGGGAAAAGTTAAAAAAGAAAAAGTCTTGACTCCCATGGAAACGCAGCGAGGACACCGCTCTTCAAACAATAGAGCGCTGCTTAGCACGGGAAACAGGAGATGGCGCAAGCGGTCGCGACGGCAATGGCTGCCAACGGACGAGAATATGGCGCCGAGAGCCGGCGTTAAATAGCAGAAGACTGAAAGGCGGCGCGAGCTTTTCCGACGTCAGTTGTCAATGCGTGGATTTATCTTCATTACTAACAAAACACTGAACAACACACAAGACGTCTCAATTTCCGTCCGTCGTCTCCGGTTTTCCAAAGATGTGTAACAAAACACATTGAATGGGCACATAATCGATTAAAAAATGGTTTGTCGGGTTATTTTGACTGTTTCTTTGCTGTTTTTTTTCTTCTTTTTTTGTTTAGGGGGGAGCATTTATGGTATCTGCTTTGCAGTTCCTTTTGTTACCGTGACTGTTTTTGGTTCTGCTAGTGTTGCCGCCTGCGGAACGCGCACCGCTTTTCTGTCGAAAAAAACGTCTGCTAATGACGCCGGCTCTCGGCGACGTATGCTCGTTCGTTGACGGCAGTTGGCGTTGCGACCGCTTTGCAATCTTTTGTCTCCCGTGCCAAGCAGCGCCCTATTGCTTAAAGACGGGTGGCTTCGCTTCGTTTTCGAAGAAGTTAATCCTTATCTCTTTTTACATTTTTGTCAGGTAGGTTCGATCTTTGCGAATTTTATAGAACAAATGCACTACCTGTGGGCAACGTTGCACAAAATCATAGCGCGATAGGTTAAGAAACCCATTTTTGCGGTCGGTTTAAAGGGTTAGGCCGCAATCTCATACACCCTGAATATGATGCCATCGTACCGCTTGAAGGAAGTTTCAGGGGCGTTGGCTTAAACGTCAAGCTGGAAACTATCAGCCTGGTCACAATTTTCTATTTTTGTGCAAAATGAAATCTATCCCCTCCTCTCTTTCTCTACTTTGCGGGTGTTCGGGTGTCGTGCGCGTCACCTAGGCCACGTTATGGGCGTTTTAATCGTTCTCCTCAGAGATTTGTCTGTTTGCAAGGTCTTAAAAGTTCGCCTAGCATCTTTTCCCTCATGGAAGATTTATTTTGCCTACATTACTAACATTTAGAAGGCACGGTAGGCTTCACTAAAATAAAAGTTTTAATTACTTATCTATTCTGTTAACTAATTCTTTACAAAACGCCTATACAGATCAAGCTTAAATGAGGCATCTCTTTGGAATCCTGGTTACCGTATTCAAGTGAATCTGGAATGAAGCTTGAGTGAAGCTAGAGCTAGAGTGAAGCTAGAGTGAAACTAGCAAGTGAAGCAAAGTTCGAGTGAAGCTATACGAAGTAATGTCTTAGGCACATAATTCCTTACTAGCCTCGGGCAGGCAATGTAGCTGCTTCCAGATCCAATATATCCATTTCTTTATTTCAGAAATATCAACGCGTAAAACAAATGCTAATTTTAGATGACAAAACTCAGTACTCCAACAGCACGCATCGCCGTATGCTTAACACGCCGCTTTTTTGTTTTACCAAGATTTCACTACAAGCAGAAATATGGCATTTCATATACCTACGCCAATGTATTCCGTCTTCCTCTCACATTATCTAGAGCATGTGACTGCCAACGTGTCCCCCTACAACGTACAAATCCCAGATCTGCTTTTTTCTATTTTTTTAAAAAGACTAAGATTGCCACATTATCTAACCGAGCCGTACTTCATTTCCTTATATGCCGTAAGTTCCTTTCAACCGATGCTCTAACTGCGTCACCTCTGAGATTCTTACTTATTGAGGTTGAAAATAAGACCGTCTATGTATATTTCTGGTCACCAAAATTACATTGCTCGCTGCTCTATCTGAACCTTCTGAGCTAGAACATTCCCCCAACGAAGGTTCAAATCAACAAGTTGAAAGGCCAACTGAATGTTATGTTCCTTATAGGTGTATCAGCTTCGTATTGTGTTCACGGCCTCCCAGAATTTTTTCAGATGTTCTTCAGTGATATTTATGTAACAGTAGCTTGAAAACGTTGACATACATGTCTTATTAATTGTCTGAGAACGATTAAACAATTTCAGCCAATAGGGTGAGAGTAACCAGTCGTTTCTCCTCCAGAGGTTTGTCGTTCTAGGCAATATTTCTCCAAATATATTTGTAGTAGTTGAGTGATGAATTGTTCACGGGCCAGATTCGACAGTAGGCAAGGCTGCTCCACATAATATATCAAGATCCGTCCGAGGTGCCACCTCTAGCTTTTATGGCTGGGCGCAGTGCAGTGTCTGGAGGTGTCTCCAGTTGGCCCAAGTCGGCTGTGCATTTTTTTCAGCATGAGATACTAAGTCCTTTAATTAAGTTATATGACACGTGCAACAATATAGTATCCAACGTTTATTCGTGCATTAGAACATGAAGGCCCTTGATCTACTCTACTCTCAGCGGCAAGTTTTGTCGCCCCAGACGTGATTATTGCAACGTGAGCAGGACCCTATTTTGCATTCTTCATCTTTCGTGCATTCCTGTAACAAGATATAAACAAGTATTTTAGACAATGGCTAAATAATATATTTTATAGAGAGTGCTTATTTATATAACACAAATGTTTTGCTAAATTGATCAAATTCGGTAGATCAAAATAATTTCCAAGAATTTGTTTGTATGAAAAAAAGCAAAAGATTAGGGATGGTTAGTACGTAGAAACAACTGTTCGTCCTAGCCGCGACGCGGTAAGAAATTGCTGTCATCATAAAAATGAACTTCACTTAGAACTCTCTTTGCTCCCCTATCAAAAGGTAAATAAAAAATAAAGAATCCCACTTTGTGATCATGTGTGCTGTCTGCGCAGAGGCCACAAATGCTTCTGTCTACTTGAATTTAAATTTGAATTTGAATTTATTTATCTCTCAACTTCACATTGTGAGATGGGACGCAAGGGAAAAAGCTGCGTGGTGCAGCTTGAGGGCCCCCTGCGCCCCTACACACGACTTCATACTTCATATCATAACAATGTTTTCTTGTTTCTGTGTTAATTTTATGCATTCCGCAAATTCGTGTTTTAGTCTACAAGGATTGAGTGTGTTGTCACGCAAAGAAATAAGCGGATATGTTCGACCTCTCTACAGCTGACTCTGTTAAGAAAAAATCTCTAAAACGTCCAAACACGGCGATTGAGATGCTCGCGTGAAGTCGCCTCATCGCTCCCTTACTGTCGGCTTTTTAGACATTTAGACGTACTTCTAAGCATGCCCAAAGAACGACTTTATGGGCGGCGCGTGATACATGAAATTCCCAATCAGCAAGCTAGGGCACAACGTGTCAGTTGAGAGACTTGCTCGTCCGGTCTGAAACATATTGCAGATATACCTCACGCAGGTAACAACTTCAGCAAGTACCACATAGAAATTTACCCACAGGCTGACTAATGAAAGTATCGTTGGAAGCATCCTTCTAGATGAGAGCACAGACAGAAAAATTAATAAAGGATCCTTTAGGGAAAGCACCATTCCTCTGCTATCGAAATGTGGCATGCGACTGGGATCGTGGTTCACCTTAATAAGAATAAGTGCATTTTTTGCGGGAATTCAAATTATAGTTCATAGAGTGTTATGGTGCCAAAATACTGACACACAGGCGCTTTCCAATGGCTTTCCTTCAAGATACATTTTTGAGGCAATACAATCGCGTCATTTTATGGTATTTGACTTCATATTTATGTGAAGAAACGCGTTTCACCTTCACCCTTTAAGGGCGTTCTATTAGAACGAAAGCACTTCAGATGGATAGCCTCAGCATTGAAGGCATCAAAGTAGGAAAACCACTAACTTTTTTCAGGTCCGTCGGCTTGTATTCTTTATGATGCATCTTAATATTTTAATTGCAACTATCTAAACAAGACGACCTGTTTACTAAAGGTTCAACTTACTTTCGTATTATTTTTAGCGGTAGGAGCACATACAAATAAATACTCAGCATCGTCTGCGCACTCCTTATCTTAGTCAAGGTCCCATTCTCTTTCTATTTTTCTTTCATGCATTCTGTGCATTATGCTTTTTAACCAGGAAGAGCTGAGTTTGTATGTAGATGAGTCAAAAGAAAAACAAGAAGTTTATTTAAGCCTTTGTAGAAATTGTTTGAATTTAGTGCGCGTTGTATTTAGGCGTATTATGTTTTTGTACCCCTGCTTCGAGGAAATTAAATAAAATGAAAACTCTTCTGGCTGGCTAAGTATAATCGTGATAAATCAACCAACCTCAAAATCGCTCCTTGAGATACTCGAGTAGAATCTAATCATGGCTGCTTCACATTCTCAGATTACGAAGTTCAGATTTTTGGACGCTGTTGCCTACACTGTGATATCAATGAACGTTTCTAATGGCGGCCCAATTCCCCATCGCAATCGCGATTTGCTATTGCGGGGCAAATGTGCCTTTTTGCGGACTTCCTCATTCAGTTAAGGTATTTTCTACTACACTTCTTTCTAAAGTATTGCGAGCTAAAGTTTTTTTGGTCAACGCAGGAAGAGCAATTTGAATGACTCAGCCAAATGAAAAAACTTTAAATAAATTAGTATTACCCAAGTATTGCTCCTTGTTTTGCTTACAAAATGCAATATTATGCTCGTAGCGCGGTACAACCAATAAAACTTGAATCTATTTTTCACTGGGATCTTAATTGTATTTCTGATTTATTATACCACAATAAGGCAGACAACATACTATACGACATTGCACCATCAAAAAATATATATATTTTTAGGCGTACAGCCGGGCAGGTTTTATTTACTTTAAAATATATTTACTTTAGGAAATTCTTATCATTGTTCCTGTCAAGAGGCTCCAGCCAGAATTTATGTACTTAAAGGGATAGCGGCCCACTAACGTCATCAATGCATACTAAAATAATCTTCTTTTTTTCAAATTCCACACACTGTAGTTTGATTACGACAAAGAATCAGAACAATATTTAGGAACCTAAAATATTTAGTTTACTTACTTTTCTATAACATGCAGGCCTCTTTGCCTTCACTTGCCAAGCGGGTGCTGACATGACAAAGTAGAAGCTGAGAAGTAAAAATATGAAAAATTAGGAGTGAGTATTGATTAAATGTTATGACGACGTCGATCACGTTAAAAAAGCAGCGTTAGTAAGGTTATGAACAGCTATACAGGGTTTTTTTTTTTTTAGCTGCACCAACTTTTGAAAAAAAAAAGGAACGTGAAATAGAGTTATTTAAGCCCTGGGGAAGTATTAGTGGCCATGGCGGACTCCAGAAAAAGGTGAAATTAGGTAATTAGTTTTCTAATTAACTAAACTGTTTTAACTAACTTTTTAATTTTTCACTTGAGGGCACATAATGCATTTCGAGGATTGAAGATCGGCCACAGTGTGGTTAGTTGTGTCGTCCAATTTGGATAAAAAAATTCCTAGTATGCGCTACGGGGTCAAGAAATGTCACTTTGGTAAATGACGTCAAACCTAAACTAAGCAGGAAAGAGCGCCGGTAGAGTTATCGCTTCGTCCTTCCGGGCATGCGATTCGTCATTATCGCGGCCGGCTCGCCTAAGCAAGTGGAACCGGCCGTGATAATGACGAATTGCATGCCCGGAAGGACGAAGCGATAAGTCTACCGGCGCTCTTTCCTGCTTAGTTTCGGTTTGACGTCATTTACCAAAGTGACATTTCTCGACCCCGTAGCGCATACTAGGAATTTTTTTTATCCAAATTGGACGACACAACTAGACCACACTGTGGCCGATCTTCAATTCTCGAAACACATTATGTGCCCTCAAGTGAAAAATTAAAAAGTTAGTTAAAACAATTTAGTTAATTAGCAAACTAATTACCTAATTTCACATTTTTTCTAGAGGCCGTCATTGCCACTAACACTTCCCCAGGGCTCAAATTACTCTATTTCACGTTCCCTTTTTCTTTTAAATTTGGTGCAGCTAAAAAAAAAATACACCTTGTATGTATACATACCGTAATATACTGCAGAAGGGCACACTTCCTTCAAGTGCCCACTATCAACATTAAAAGAACAAAACAGAAAAACTGGAATTCTGCAAAATATTTGTTAAGCACCCGACTTCACCGGACAAGCGCCCACGTCTAGATTCACCCAGTTTTTAGTAAAATTGGTGCTCGCGCTCCCCCGATTTTTTATGGTGCATATTTTAGACAAGCGAGCAGAAAACGTGCGGGTGTTCCATATCTATGCGGAGCGAAAATACGTCTTGAGATCGTCTGCTAGAACTTCGCGGTTCGCTTGCTTCTTGGCAGGGGTTCCGGTGACGTCAGAATTTCGAGCTCTTACTGGCTCTGAAGGAAAGAACAGTAGGTAGAGCTCAGTGCTAGCTCTCTTGAAGTCTAGACAGCACCCTTCCAATCATAGCCAATGAGAGTTCGGCATCCTGACATAACCGCTACCCCGGCGCAAGAACCGATATTTGCTCTCTGCATACCATGTGACTTTTTAGATCGACTGAAAATATGTATGCAAAATTTCCTCGGAAAATATCTCTACAAATTATTTCCTAGGAGGTTGATAGAAACATACTTGCGAATGTTTTAATTTGGGAAGTTATATTCGCAGTAACGTACCGGGGCCTTGACGTTACTGTAGATTTAGAGCTCTTTATGCATAACCTTTTACCTCGACCAGAGTTGCATAACTCTAGTTCCTTGTAGTGAGCTGGCAAATAACCCGAAACAAGTCCAAAAGTCTGACGACAATAATCCCTGGAGAAGGGGAACAAAAGGGAAGGGGGGGGGGAAGTTGGGACAAAGGGCCAACACAAATCTCCAAACGCAGCTAGGTGACAGGTGCGCGACCGAAAAAATACGCCTGGTCCGGGTATCGAACCAGGCACCTCAAACTCCTGGTTACTTCAGTTGCAAGAGTGCTTCACTCGAAATGCAGGAATCCCTGGTTCGATGCCAAGACCAGGCGGATCATTTCGCTCGCGCCCCACTTAACTAGCACTGTTCGGAGATTTCTGTTTGTCCTTTGTTCCCTTTGTCCAGGGATTATTTTCGTCATCCTTGTCCAGCTCGCGTACACCTTTGTCTTTAACTGCGCTATTATCGGGTGGGTCTTCTTTTCTAGCGCCCTAATCTCGAAACTTTGTCGAAAAAATCGGCGAAAAATTCGGTGGCCGTGACTGGCCGGCGCCGCGCTCGATCCTGGCGGTGGCCACTGACAGACGCCGCCAGTGTCCAGATTAGTGCCCATGGTCTCCAGAGGCACATGCATCATAGTTCTGCATGTGGCATGAACACCAACGTTTGTAATTGTTCAAGAGCACGTGGCATTCGACTGGGGTTCCCAATGCAGTGAAAAATTCCACATTGTCAAATGCTTACAATATTAAATTAAAGCGCGATACTATTGTTGCAGAATAAATTTCTATTGCATTGTTAATTGCATTAGCGGATGTAATTTTTTCCCTCACTCGTAGTTGCTACACGAAATGAACAGTTATTGTTGATATTCTGATAGCACATGTATGCAGCCTAGATGATATATGCTTTGTATTTAACGAGGTGCATGTGAGTTACGAGATAAGAGAATTAAGGATGCACATATATTCAGTCTCGAAAGAGCGATTTGCGGGTAGGCGAACTGGAGATAATTATTCATAATATAATAACTGAGACTGTACCACGACTTGAAGGTTTCTTAATTTTTTTCACACCGCCGTTCAAGGTGTTACATTGTAATTAAATATTCAGTATCTTTGAGACGCGTTACCTAAATTCGCAGTCATTAGGTCCTTCGTTTATATTCATATCTTCCAACGTACTTTGGCTTGAAACTCTTACCTTTCGAGAACAAGAAGAGTAACGATGAAAATGGCTACGGCACGCATTGTTGGCGGTCTATTAGGAAGTATCTTCGTAAATATGCTTAGAGAAGCAAGTGCTTTCGAAGTCCGGCCCCTACCTCGTTTTATAGTACATCGACAACTGCAGATTTTATAAAGTATGACGTCATCTCTCGAATAAATGCCTTTTTTATTATTAATGTTTCACTGCTACTTTTTGCAGGTTCGGTGACCTGGCACTGAAGGTCAGCGAACGTCGCTGGCGTTCAGCGGTTTTAACCTTGTGCAACGTCCTGAGGTCCCGTGGAAGAGGTAAGCGAACCTTCAAATAATCTTCGCAGCTGCAAAAAATTCATAGCTGCCGGGGCTTGGAAATTGTCGTGTGAAGAGTTGACTAAAAAAAGAAAAACGAAACGTGATTGAACAATGGCTGAGCGGATGAAAAACGAAAATAAAAATGGCCTTTTTATAAATATTTAATTATTCATTTATTACTACCGCACTTTTCCCTACACCATAGGGCTACGCCACAGTACCGATGTTGTATCTAGCTTAGAAAAATACAACAGGATCAATTAATCCATCCGTGTGCACACGTCCGCCCTTTGAACGACTTTCTAACGCATGCATAATTTGAATTAATTTCTTTCACAAGGTGATAATATCTTACAAGACAAGTCACAACTTGTCCATACCTGAACAGTATAAATAACGACAGTGCTAAAAAATAAAATGAAAATATAATTTGAAACTCCCACGAAAGGAAACTTTTACATATCTGTATCCCTCTTTAGTAACGTTTTATAAGAATACGCATCAATATTATGTCAATCTTCACGATCTTGCGATGGTGCCAATCTGTTGCTTAGGAAATCTGGGTACATTTTGTCTGGACCAGTGGCTCGAAACAACTTGAGAAATTAATAACTTTTTAAAATTCACCTGCTAATATTAATTTTGTCTGGTAATAAAGAAACTGCAACACGACTAGTGGAGTTGGTGTAATTTTAGGAATAACAAAATATATATTAGTTGTAATATTGCAAAATTAAACATGCAGAAATGTATAATTTATTTATTTATTTATTTATTTAAATACATGAAAGATAATGGGGCATTGCAGAGGGGGTGGACATACACTGGGGGTTCAGTAAAAAAAATTCTACAAACAAGACAACTCGGTTATAAAAGGTAGTCCAGCATAATCTAAGCAAAAGTGAGTAATTAGTGCTTTTCTCAATCAATAAAAAAAATGATGGAATAGTTACTAATAATGTGGGAAGATGGTTCCATTCAAATGACGTTCTGGGGACGAAACAGTCGATGTAAGCTGAAGTTTCACAATGAAGTATGCCAACTTTAAGACGGTGATCGATGCGGGAAGGAAAGAAAGAAAGAGGGGCTAATGGATGGTTTGCCTTTCAGAAAATCTTTGGAATGATACATTCTATGAAAGAGGCGCAAACGAGATGCTTGAGAACGTGAGGGTAGAAGGGACAGGGACAGCTAGGGTGGTTTTCATAGATGAAACACCCGCGGTGCGATGATGGTTACAGACTATGAATGTGCGGCGCGATTTCGTAGGACTTCAATGTTTGTTACAACCTTTGCGGGACCGGGATCCCAGATTGCTGCGGCATATTCCAGCTTTGAATGTATTAAAATTTTTTACAGAAGAAGGTTTAGTTACATAGAAATTAAAGTTTTTTTTTTTAGTATCCAAGCTATTGCATTAGCGTTACTGATTATATAAGAGTGCGCTATCTATGATGGTTTGAAGGGATGTTAACACAAAGAAACTTGAATGAGGTCAGAGATGTCAGTTGAGTATTACAAATTATATACGGTGAAGGTGACGTCTTACGACGAGGCATCTTCATAGTTCCACATTTGGTAGTATTGAGAGCTATTGCCATAAGGTACACCATTCCCAAACCTCGCATAAGTCAGCCTGAACAAGTGCAGCATGTGATTCGTTAGTAATTTCACGATACATTACGCAGTCATCTGAGGTTGTGTGTGTTCAGCGCTGCTTAAAATGTTGCATCACTTAAAAAATATGTTACTTTAATAATCAAAAAGATGTACAACAATACACATTGTTTTTTTGATTGTTTTATCGATAATTTAACCTTTTTTATTCAATATTTTGTTGCGGCGGCTTGAATTATGGGATTTCCGCAAGGGCACGTCAAGTTGCGTAAAGGCAGCTTTTTGCTCTTTTTTTCCCCTCTCGGATTATAAAAATTAAGATAAACGTTTCCATGTTTATAATATTTGAATAACTACCGCAAAAGTACATTACACCCTATTGAAAATCGCTCTGATGGGACTTCAGGATTTTTTTAAAGGGTGTGAAGGGGACTTCAGGAATTTCTGAGATGTTTGTAGGAGGCACCGATATTTCCTGGCGGGTTCACTGGCCCCGTCTGAGGCTCTCCTGAAATGTCTAAAGTGCCCTTTACAATGCCTTGAAATGTCTGATAGCCTGTCAAGAACTTTTCTAATGGGATCGGGAAAACCTTCAGGCTTTTTGAGATGTCTATGGGCAACGGCCTAGGTGGAAAAACACATTTCGCAGAATTAATGAACATAGCTGCTTATTGTACGCTACGGGAGAAAAAAATAAGTATCTGGAGAATGCCGATCGTGCGTGTGTTTACAGTCAGATTTTTATTACTGCTCTTCTATCAAATACGAGTGGGCTCCTGGACCCGTCTCTCACTGCCGGGTGTTCGGTCGCCGAAGAGGCCACTGAGGGCGACCGCCCTATGTGGAGAATTGACGAGCCGCGGGCCGAGTGGTGTTGGCCGAGCGGCGTTTTTGAGGCGAACGCAATCCTGTCCGCTCGAGGCGAAATCTGTGCAACCATGTATAAAAAAAAACACGAAAAAAAAAAACAAGCCGAGAACCGTGCGCGCTTTCCAGGAACAGGGACGCACGCGGGAGCGACTCGTTCCGGGAACCGGTCCCTCCACGGGGGACTGTCCCCAAAAAGCAATCGCCTCTCTCCGCCCGGCGATTGGGAGAGGGTGCAGGGCTGCCAGGCCAGCGGTTGGGGGGGGGGGAGGGGGGTGTGTCTAAGCGGGGGAGGCCATAGCCATTTTATCTCTGCTCGTGTGCGGTTCCGGTTATCCCACGAGCCGGGATGTTTGGAGCCGACCAATTTCCTCCAGGAACGTGAGCATGCATGGTTTTGAGGGCTCGCCGCTTGGTCTGTTTTGATCCGTGCAGTTTCTTTCTTGGTACCGCAGGTGAACCATAGTTCGGCGCAGGCCGCCTTCAGCACCGCTCGAGCGTCATTGTGTTCAGCGCATTCAAGGAGATGGTGGCCGGTGTCGGCTTACTCGCTGCAAAGCTTGGCAGTCGGGGTCAGCGTCCCACCGCATGTTGTGCCTGCGCACCGGGATTATGGCACTCTGGGTGTTGAGGCGGTGGATGACGGCCGCTGTCCGGACTTGTTCCTTGCGTTTCTTCGTCCGTCCGACTTCAGACCAGCGAGCGAAAAATACGCCGAAGACGCCGGCGCGATGTCATCATGGACGAAACCGTGACTGTGCTCGGGATTTCTCAACGGCGGCGGGTGCTGCTTACGAGTTCGTGGTTTTCGCTAAGCGTGCTTACTGAGACTGTGTATGTGTCCGGCAGGTGCACCTGCTCGGTTTTATTAGCTGGACTACCGTACATCAGGAATATACCCAGCGGCATTGTGAGTACTTTGAAAGGTATTTTTCTTGGTGATAAAGAAGTCAATTGTCCCTGTTTGATGTGATCTCTTTCGTCTACAACTCCTTGCGCCGGGTTTGAACAAGCGTTGCTTTTTATCACCTTTTTGAGTTATAATATGCTTGCAAAATTAAATGTCGGCAATAAATTTTCAATGTCTTGACCTGCATTTTTGTCTATGGTTCACAGTCATTTGGGCGTCTAAAGGGTTGATGGGCTAAAGGGTCTGACGGGCTAAAGGCTTTTTCTACGGGGCACCCTTGAAGGGTTTTTCAGTAGGGTATTTTTGAAGAGTTTTGAAGGCCTGTGGATGTCCCATAATCCTTCAAGGCTGATATTTTCAATAGGGCATTCAGAGTAAAACATTTGACTGAAATGTGGCTTTTTGATCATGCGTCTGTAATCGGGAAGAAACTTCAATATAGATAAAGTAAATCGAGATAACTGTTTAAAAAAGACTACATAAGTTTATATTTCCAAAAGCTAACAAGCGGACCAAAATACGTGTTTCCTCTTCCAGCCCCAGACGAAGACTTCTTTATCGATTAAAAGGTTAAAAGGCGCGAACAAACAGGACGAAAAAAAGAGACACGTACGCCACTGACAGGCGCCAACTTCCAACTGATTTATTGGAACACGAATCATCGTCAAACTCAATCCCAACCGCCTAAACACATGCACCTGATAAAATTCCTATCTCTCATTACACACATCCTTCAAGAAACACAATCTCTTCGGTTAACAGATAAAGAGATGGCATGCTTACGAATATGTCAGCCGCTTTTTGTATACAGAAAGCCTCGATTAGTTCTCTTTCCTTTTTTTCATTCCCTTTCTTGATAAACCTTGTGCGCTCAAACAAAGGTTCGCACCCACATCGTTTGCAGTGCTCCGCAAGATGCCCACCCGAATTATTGCGTACGGCAAGTCTATCTTCGCGCGCTCTTTCATTAAAGCATCGGCCGGTCTGACCGATGTAAACTTGGCCGTAACTGAAAGGAATTTCATACACCACCTTAGTCACGCATTCGGTGTATCTTGTTACATGTTTCTTTCAGCACACTACAGACTTTCGTTTAGTCATCGCGGGGCATATCTTTCAAAGTTTGCACGGGGCTAAGACGACGTTAACCCTGTGTCTAACAGCCATTTTTTTTTTAAATTGTGGGACACTTTGGTGCAAATATGGTATCACCTGCACTGGCATCTTGTCTGTCTTTTCACGACTTTTGTCAACCCCCTCTTGTTTAATTTTCTGTAAGAGCCTTTAACACACACTTGTCACTCAGCTCTTCGGGTAACCGGCCCTCTTTAAGCGTGCAACCTGCTGATCAAAGCTGACCGGCAGTCTATGCTGCCAGCTTTTT